AGGGTTAGGGGTTAGGGTTAGGGAGCGGGGTTAGGGTCATGGTTAGGGTTTAGGGTTGGGGTTAGGGTTAGGGGTTAGGGAGCCGGGTTTTACCTCGTTGGGTTAGGGTTAGGGGTTAGGGAGCCGGGTTAGGGTTAGGGTTTTACCTCGTTGGCGGTGTTGTGAGTCCCCACAATCCGGATGAAGGACGCGGGCTGTTTGTCGAACTTCAAAGTTTGCCACGATCTGAAAAACAAAGACGAACGGTTCGGATTAGAGATGTCCCGATCCGGCCAATCAGAGCATGAGTTAAAGTTTAAAGTTATTTATCTACTTACTTAGTTGTCAGACTCATGTTGAACAGGGATTTACTCTGATAACAACTTAATGGTTAGGACACAGACCTGTGGGTTACAGATGCTAATGCTAATGCTAATGCTGGATAGGACTAAAAACTGGATCTGGAGTCTGGATCTGCATTTTTATCCATAATGTTTCAGCACTAAACTTCAAATTTTAACATTTCAATTTTTTTTAAAAAGCCCTTTAAAAAAAAACAAAAAAAACAGGATATTTAGATTCAACAGGAGAATTTGTGCCAAATTTGACACTTTTTGAGAATTTTTCACTTTTATCCACGATGTTTGATGACTAAACTTAAAATATTTACAGCTTTTGGTCAGAGCTGTTAGCCCTGCTGGCTAACACCAGATTCCCAGGAATCTCAAACCCTGATTATATTTGCATTATAAACATATCAGAGCATAGGTTAAAGTTTCAAGTTCTTTATGTACTTACTTAGTTGTCAGACTCATGTTGAACAGGGATTTACTCTGATAACAACTTAATGGTTAGGACACAGACCTGTGGGTCAGGAGATGCTAATGCTAATGCGGGAAAAACTGGATCTGGAGTCTGGATCTGCATTTTTATCCACAATGTTTCAGCACTAAACTTCAAATTTTTACATTTCCAACTAAATAAAAAAAAAAACTTTTTTTTTTATAAAACACAGACCTGTGGGCTAAAGATGCTAATGCTAATGCTAATGTGGGATCGGACGGTGGGATCCAGATATCGGATCGAGACACGCCTAGTTCTGGTCTCCCACTGAGGCAACAGGGGAAGGTTAAGCCAACGGAAACCCCATTTATGAAGTCTTTTGGCTGTTTTTCATGTTTTCATTGGAAGACTTCTGGCTCAGAGTGTTTGGGGGCATCTCTATCTGCACTTATAATCCAACGAGTGTGTCCCTCACCGACATGGCACCCGGGTTCGGTCCACCACTTTAGTCCACTGCTGCTGGTTGGTGGAAACCTCGATGTAGTAGCTGTAGGAACGCTCGTCACAGTCCCACAGCAGCAGCCTGAGGAGGAGAGGGTTCTGATTGGACGATTCGGGTTGTCAAAAGTATCGACACTCAAAAAGTATCGATACTCAAAACGTTTGATCCGCATACGATACTCATTTTCAAAAGTATCGATAGCCGTCTCCCCCTTCTCTCTGATTTATTTATCTATTTACGTTGTTTATGATCATTAACGTGACATTAGCCTTGAATTGCTAGCTGCGGCTAACGGCTAATAATAACACGCCAACCTTAATCAAGTCGGCCATTTTGATCAGGTCACCAATAGGAAGATCCCAGACAAGAAAACCCTAATTGCTTCATGTCAATACAAATTAATTTATTTTATTTTATTTAAAAATAGTGAAATGAATCTTGCAAACAGGTGGCAGCCCCTCCCTGGCTGCCACCTTATCGTGGTGGAGGGGTTTGAGTGTCCCAGTGATCCTAGGAGCTATGTTGTCCGGGGCTTCAAGCCCCTGGTAGGGTCACCCAAGGCAAACAGGTCCTAGGTGAGGGATCAGACGAAGCGCAGCCAAGAAGACCCCTATGATGTATAATAAAATTGGATCCAGCGTTCCCTCGCCCGGGCGCGGGCTACCGGGGCCCCCCCCTGGAGCCAGGCCCAGGGGCGGGGCACCATGGCGAGCGCCTGGTGGCCGGGCCTTCACCCATGGGGCCCGGCCGGGCAAAGCCCGAAAAGGCAACATGGGTCCCCCGTCCCATGGGCCCACCACCCATGGGACGGGCCATAGGGGTCGGGTGCGC